ATTTTTATTTTTTTGTTGCCAATCGATAGTACTGATCCTTACGAGTCCAAAATGGTATAAAATTCCTAAATCGGAAAGTATTTGGCCGAGATATTTCAAAAAATCATCAAAAAAGGTTGACTTTACAAACGAATCGGTTTTTGGTCAACCACTTTTTTTAACCCATCGATTTTTAAAATGTTTGAATGCAGATTTATAGTAGGGATCCCTACAAATTCAAAAAGGTATAACATTTCAAAATATGACAATATTTACCTGAGATATTCAATAAAAATCATCAAAAAAGTTTTTATTTTCGAACCGACCCCGAATTTGAGAAAAAACGTGATGTAACCCCTTGCCATTTTGTTGATTTTGGTCAAAATTTAGATTTTTATTTTTTTGTTGCCAATCGATAGTACTGATCCTTACGAGTCCAAAATGGTATAAAATTCCTAAATCGGAAAGTATTTGGCCGAGATATTTCAAAAAATCATCAAAAAAGGTTGACTTTACAAACGAATCGGTTTTTGGTCAACCACTTTTTTTAACCCATCGATTTTTAAAATGTTTGAATGCAGATTTATAGTAGGGATCCCTACAAATTCAAAAAGGTATAACATTTCAAAATATGACAATATTTACCTGAGATATTCAATAAAAATCATCAAAAAAGTTTTTATTTTCGAACCGACCCCGAATTTGAGAAAAAACGTGATGTAACCCCTTGCCATTTTGTTGATTTTGGTCAAAATTTAGATTTTTATTTTTTTGATTCCAATCGATAGTACTGATCCTTACGAGTCCAAAATGGTATAAAATTCCTAAATCGGAAAGTATTTGGCCGAGATATTTCAAAAAATCATCAAAAAAGGTTGACTTTACAAACGAATCGGTTTTTGGTCAACCACTTTTTTTAACCCATCGATTTTTAAAATGTTTGAATGCAGATTTATAGTAGGGATCCCTACAAATTCAAAAAGGTATAACATTTCAAAATATGACAATATTTACCTGAGATATTCAATAAAAATCATCAAAAAAGTTTTTATTTTCGAACCGACCCCGAATTTGAGAAAAAACGTGATGTAACCCCTTGCCATTTTGTTGATTTTGGTCAAAATTTAGATTTTTATTTTTTTGATGCCAATCGATAGTACTTATCCTAACGAGTCCAAAATGGTATAAAATTCCCAAATCGGACAGTATTTGGCCGAGATATTTCAAAAAATCATCAAAAAAGGTTGACTTTACAAACGAATCGGTTTTTGGTCAACCACTTTTTTTAACCCATCGATTTTTAAAATGCTTGAATGCAGATTTATAGTAGGGATCCCTAAAAATTCAAAAAGGTATAACATTTCAAAATCTGACAATATTTACCCGAGATATTCAATAAAAATCATCAAAAAAGTTTTTATTTTCGAACCGACCCCGAATTTGAGAAAAAACGTGATGTAACCCCTTGCCATTTTGTTGATTTTGGTCAAAATTTAGATTTTTATTTTTTTGATTCCAATCGATAGTACTGATCCTTACGAGTCCAAAATGGTATAAAATTCCTAAATCGGAAAGTATTTGGCCGAGATATTTCAAAAAATCATCAAAAAAGGTTGACTTTACAAACGAATCGGTTTTTGGTCAACCACTTTTTTTAACCCATCGATTTTTAAAATGTTTGAATGCAGATTTATAGTAGGGATCCCTACAAATTCAAAAAGGTATAGCATTTCAAAATCTGACAATATTTACCTGAGATATTCAATAAAAATCAATATAAAATTCAATATAAAATTCCCAAATCGGACAGTATTTGGCCGAGATATTTCAAAAAATCATCAAAAAAGGTTGACTTTACAAACGAATCGGTTTTTGGTCAACCACTTTTTTTAACGCATCGATTTTTAAAATGATTGAATGCAGATTTATAGTAGGGATCCCTAAAAATTCAAAAAGGTATAACATTTCAAAATCTGACAATATTTACCCGAGATATTCAATAAAAGTCATCAAAAGAGTTTTTATTTACGAACCGACCCCGAATTTGAGAAAAAACGTGATGCCATTTTGCCATTTTGTTGATTTTGGTCAAAATTTAGATTTTTATTTTTTCGATGCCAATCGATAGTACTGATCCTAACGAGTCCAAAATGGTATAAAATTCCTAAATCGGAAAGTATTTGGCCGAGATATTTCAAAAAATCATCAAAAAAGGTTGACTTTACAAACGAATCGGTTTTTGGTCAACCCCTTTTTTTAACCCATCGATTTTTAAAATGTTTGAATGCAGATTTATAGTAGGGATCCCTACAAATTCAAAAAGGTATAACATTTCAAAATCTGACAATATTTACCCGAGATATTCAATAAAAATCATCAAAAAAGTTTTTATTTTCGAACCGACCCCGAATTTGAGAAAAAACGTGATGTAACCCCTTGCCATTTTGTTGATTTTGATCAAATTTTAGATTTTAATTTTTTTAGGGCGATTGATTTTTCATTTATGTTATTTTAAATTCGGTTTAAATTTAAAATTAATGGAATTGTCCTGATCCGAATAAGGCTATCTCTTGAAAATATGACAATATTTTCCCGAGATATTCAGATGGAATCAATAAATCAGATATATTCGTGGTAATCTTTGTTAGTTTTAGGTTCTTGATGCTAACTTTCAACCTAAAAGAAAGCTTCTATACGAGTTTCAGCTGCTTAACGCTTATCGTTTAGGCTGTGTCAGTCCGTCAGTCGGTCAGTCGGTCAGTCGGTCGGTCGGTCGGTCAATCAGTCAATCAACCAAACAAAACAAGCTCTTTCATATAAGAATTTATTTAATTGTATAGCTACTAGCATAGTAGTATTCAGTTTATTCAGAGACGTTTGTTTGCTTTCAAGTACTTTTCTGTAATTTTATTACAATCTGCGGCGCTTGTTTTGCGATTTAATTTGTTTGTTATTTGTATATTAATTGTGTTTTTCATTTTTTTGTTATTCATTTTGCAAATACGTTTACTTATCTTTTGTCGCTTGTTGTTATGCATACTGTTGGTTCTATTATTTGCATTTTTTAGCTGATAGTTAAGCGAATTCGTTTAGTATGTAGACAGAAAACTTGCCCTAGGCAAAACAAATGGTAGACAGACGCCTTAGAAATCTATAAACTCTTGTTAGATAGACGACATATAGAGTTTTGAACCTGACTTGCCTGCTCAGACCAGATAGCATTGGGTTTCAATGCACAGATCTTGTCTGAGCTGTTGAATGGTTCGTTTTGTTTTTCTTTTTTTTTGTCACGTATTATTTGCTTTACATATTGCTTGGGCTTTAGTTAGTCGAAAGGCGCGACTTTTAGTATAGTTGTGCTCTTGCTTAGTTTGTAGCAAAGCTATTTGGATATACGATACATCTGATACATCTATAAATTTATTGCATGCTGAGTTAATCTGGTTCATCGAGTACCGACTGACAGACTCATTATAATAGTAGGAAGTCGACGTTTGATCTTTGACATTATCTTCGTTTTTTGTTGATTTTATTAATGCTTTTTGTGGAGAGTATTTGATGCATGTTGTACTAACCATAATTACCATTTAAAATTTGACACATCATTGAAAAATGTAATCAAAGCTACAGTAGGTAAAAAAGTGTATCTATGAATTACATATACATATATATAATTGTATAATTTAATCATGTATTGTATTATTACAAATCAAATATTAATGCTACATTCACAAAGTTTTCAATATGCGCACTGGCTTACACTGGTTCTCAATTTGAATCGGATAGTGAATAGATCCTGGATATATAAGCAAATATCGTTAGCTGCAGCTAGAACATTTAGTGGAGAATTTACTAAGATATTGCAAATGTTATAGATATATATATATATATGTTCTTTAGATACATATTCTAGTTGAATAAGCGAAAGGTACACATGGAGCATAAAACGGCCGCTACGCCAATTCTCGCATTTGGGTCTTGAGCGTAGCTACCTCTCTATATATTTATTTACTATAATATGATTTTTGTTTCACACTAATAAAATTTACAAAATCTTCTATATAAATTCAACAATTAATGAAGAGCTTTAGAGTTTTGAAGATATATCTATATATATATATATATATATATGATTTGTTTTTACTTTTACTATGTATTCGGTTTTGAAACGTAATACACAAAATTTAGCACCAATCTATTCAAAAATTCATCAAATTATTTGATTGTTCCAAGTTATACAAATGAAGCACTTAAGATTATGCGATATCTTTTAAACGAATATAAGTATTATGAACACTTTTCGAATGATGGCGACGTCTGAGGCCGTCGCCGGTTAACACTTTCCGAGGGGAAATCTTTTCCGGTCCGGGAAAGAGCATCATTTTAGCAACTTAAAGAAATAATAATCAAGGCGTGGCCGTTGTTAAATGTTAAAAATTAATTTAAAATTTATTTACACGCAGATACAATAAACGAGCAAAGAAAATTGGGTCTTTTTGCTTGAACTACACTAGATAACTCTAGGTTTACATGGTATATATATATATATATATCTATATATATATATATATATATATGTGTATATGTATATATTTGATATATTTATAAGTAGTTCTTTAATTATACAGTAAGTATTATTAATATTATTATTTCTTTTAGAAAGTAAACAGTACTTTTCGAACTTGAACGCTCGCACTTCAGTCGAGTTTTTTTTTTTTCTTTTTGTTTCTTTGAAAAGTTGCAAATAATGTGGGAATCGTGTGGGAAGTGGGATTTTGGATAGGTTTGTTCGATTTATAGGGCATGATTTGATGAGCTTGACAATGAAATAAATAAATCTTATGTTGCGCATGGAGTATGTACGGCTAGTGCTCAAGCTGTGGCTGCTTCAGAATGCTTTAGAATGATTCCAAAATTAACAAAAACATTTCTCAGTTAAAAGTATCTCAAAGTCTATAATCGCAGGTGTGCGTGTGTGTGTGTGTGTGAGTGTGTGTTTGCTTAAAATGTTTGCGAACGCCTTCAACATTGCTAAATATTTAATGCATTACTTTAGTTTTAGTTTTAGTTGTAGTTGTAGTTAACTATGTATCTGTATCTTGTATCTTGTATCTGATAAATTGGTTGCCTTTTGCTTTAATGTCGGGTAGTTGTTGTTGCTGTTGCTGATGTATCTAATGCTGCCAACTCTTCGTTTAACGCTAATTACTTAAACATACAGATTGTAGAACATTTGACGGGTCTACAGCTCATCGTCCGCCTTGGGTATGTCGAAGATCTCGGCGAAGAGCGGCGGCAGGCGCAGCTTGGTCCAGTTCATTCGCAGCCAGTCGAGATGTGAGAAGTGCTTGGCGCCCAGCGAGCGCAGCTCCGGTATTTTAGCCTCCAGCGCCGGCATCAGCTGCAGCGCCTGCGTCGAGCCCGCTCGCGAGCGCAGGATCTGAACACGCAACGCCTCCGCCACCAGCTCCCGGGCACGGGCAATCACCTTCGGCTCACTGAGGCCGGTCCGATCCGATGCCAGCAGCACCATCGCGGAGAAGAGACCAATCTCTGTGTCGCTCAAGCCATATGCGTTCAGCGTGTTGGCAAAGTTCAGCAGGGCGTTCACAAAATCCGACTGCAAATGGAAAATCGTATTAGCCAAGTCGAACGAACTTAAGTTAAATTCAATTAAATTAAATATCCTTGCTAAGAAACAACATGAATAAAATCTTATCCACATCGGATAAATATAAATATATAAAATGAGTTTTTGTATGGGAAGCACGGAGACCCAATAAATAGCCTTTTAGTCGGACTACTATATCATATGGCTAGGACATGAACAATCTTTCGGAATTAAAGCTTTTGCTTGAGAGCACGTCTGTCAGGGTATCTGATCTCCTTCTCTCTGGGTTTTCTCACTCACATCGTAGAGTATCTCGAGCTGCTGTCGGGTCAGATATGCGCCATCGTCCAGCGTCAGCGTCGTATCATTGATCAGGCGGGCGACATGCGTCAGCCACACCTCGAAGAAGCCCAGCTTGATGAGTATCAGTTGGTCGTCCTGGGTGAAATCACAGAAGCCGGGTACGCGTTTCGCGAACTCCACAATCCGCTGCACGCCGGGCGTGACGCGCGCCGAGAACTGCTGCCACAGCCAGATCTTTTGAAACTCCAGGCTCTCCGCCACGGTGGTCACAATCTGCGAAGGATTAAATGAATCTCCTGTTACTTGAGCAGTTTGTAGGGCAGATTTCAATTCGATGCGGCACTTACCCCGTTTTGTGGCACCGTCACTGGACGTCGCATCAGTTCGCGTGTCAGCTCCTCGGTGTAGGAGCAATTGAGGCGATGCGCCTGCGAGACGCACATGATCACATCGTAGACGGTCAGCTCGTTGGCGGTGCCGGCGAGGCTGTCGTGATGGTCGTGCGGATGACACATGCCCACCTGGGTCATGGCCATGTCGCCGCTGCTGCCCATGCTGACCAATTGCTGGTGATGGTTGCCCCCAACTACAGCTGTTGCATTGCTGTTGTTGTTGCCGCTATTGTTATTGCTGTTGCTGCTGTTGTTGTTGTTGTTGGCACTATTGCAACCGCCCAGCTCCGATGGCGATGAGGCTATCGAACACATTTGTGGCGTTTGTGGTGTACTTGGTGTATTTACGCGCTGCACGCTGCTCGCATGCGGCTGCTGCTGCTGCTGCTGTTGCTGCTGTTGTTGTTGCTGTATTAGGTTTGTATGCAAATTATTGGCACTGGTTTCATCCACATTTAGGGGCGCGCTGGCTGCTGATGCTGTTGCAGCGGCTGCTGCTGCTGCCGCACCGTTCAGCTCACGTGAACGCTTGGGTACGCGACCATAACGCACAGCTGCAAGAAAGAGAGAAAGAATTGTCAGTTGGCTTTCAAATTCAAATTAGAGCGCGAAATATACCAAAGCAGCCGCAAGGTATGCAGCATGAGTGCAATCTACAGTTCAGTACCTTAACAGCGAAAAAGTATGCTAAACTAGAATGTTAATACTTAACAATGGCTGCACATGTTATGTTAAAAAGTGTTGCATACTTTTGAGCGGCGCCATTTTACATGTGCATAACAGCAGCAATTGTTATGTAGCATACTTTTTAACGGCGCATGTTTATATTTGTTTTCATCTATAACTCACATTTATTTTATTTATGCGCCATCATAGTCAACAAATTGGGCAACATTATTTTAAATTTATATTACTTGTACATAGCAACACGTTGTTTTTTTTGTTCTTTAAAGTTTGCGTCACACGCAATGGAAACCCATTAATTAGTTTCTAAAGCAATTTAAATTTAAATCTTAGCCAAAATGTCACACAATAAAAGTGGCACACGCATAAATCTAAAGCAAACACACGCACACACGCACACACGGACGCACGGACGCACCCACTGTATCATTTATAGCAAATGGGCAACAAAATTCTTGTAGCAGCTCAACTGGCAAATTTGTACCAAAATTTAACTTGGCAGACGGCAAATTGTTGTTGCTTCCGCTCAAAAAAAGAAAACATAATTTTTTAGCATATTTCTAAAAAAGAAAATGTTCATTAGCTTGACGTTTTAGTTTTCAGCAAAGCAAACGAAACAAATTGCAAAAATGTAAACGTGAAATTTCTTTTGTGCAACCAAATACACAGCATATTTTATTAATTAAAATCGCATTTGCCTTTTGGCAGCCGGCGGCGAAGACGACGGCGACGAAGACAACGACGCAGCAGCAGCAGCTGCTCCAGTTGCTGCTGGCTCTCAACTGGTGGCAGCAGCAACTGGCTCTGGCTACGGCGCTGGCGCTGGCGACGCTCACTTTATCAGTGGGACATTGACCCACTGTGCTCAATATAAAAAACTGTCTGATTTTGTTGTGTGCGTGCTTTGGCTTGTTTTTGTTTTTGTTTTTGTTATTGTTATTGTTATTGCTGCTGTGGTATTCGCCGGCGGCGTCAGTTTCAGCAACAGACAATCCAAAAGATACTTTTGTATCTTTTACACATATTTGTTATTGCACTTATGACGAAACGGCGTCTGTTCGAGTTGTGCAAAGTGGTCAGCGAGAAGGCCAAGACCTTGCTCAAGCCACAGGCGGGCGAACGAAATTGCGCATACGCAGCGTGCGCCCGGAAAAGTCAAATCCGCGTGGGCAGTGAAAAGCGAAAGGCGAGAAGCGAGTGGCGAGAAGCGAGCAGAGCGACAGTTGATCGTTTGGGATTGGCCAACGCATTGACCCACATCTGTGGGCCACTTTTTTAGCGCCGGCCTTGTGTGTGCTGTGCTGCAGTCACGCTTTGCACCAGCTGCTCATCTCGTTAATTGTCACAGCTCGTAAATTAATTATGACATAATAACTACACACACACACACTCACACACACACACTTACGAACAAGAGCTGCACATTGTTGTTGCATACACCTTCAACTCTGCTAATTGTTTGTGGCGGGCGCTCTGCTCTGTTTATTTTGTTATTATTATTTTTAAGGTGTCTTCAATTAGCAGCTCATTGCGCCGACGATGCCAGCTGCACGATTTCTTTGCCTAGCGCCCGCTCTCGCTAGCTTGTTGTTAGCTGCTTTAATGCAGATATTTTTATTGACTTGATACGCCTGCAGCTGAAGGCCAGATTGGGCACTCGAGAGCCTCATAAAGCTGCCAATAAGTGGAGCAGCTCAATGCCCAGAGCAGGCAGCAGCAAAGTATCACAAAGTGATATCAATTCGCACACAAGTTTGTTACATTTCGAAACTTAGCAAACAGATACAAGTTTTTTTTAGAAAACAAATGTAATAAACCGGTTCACGGTTTGAACCAGCGAACCTGTCGTAAGGTTCGCTTCCATTCATCGCTAAAACTTGATTCACATATTTGAACTAAGTTTTTCGTAGATTAGAGCCCCAAACCTCGTTCAATTTTAAATACATAGAACAGAAGCTGACCAACAAGTGGAAAGTCGCCGGTTCAAATTCCGCAGCAAGTTTCAATTTTTGTTTGTTATTTAATAAAAATAATAAGTAGCAATATACTAATTAAAAACGAAAGAAAAGAAATTAGTGGGCGATCAATGCATTGTCAAAATCTAAACAACTTTGCAAAAATATTTTTAAATATTTAATAAATAGATTTGAACCACAAATTTTGTTTAAAATTGGTTCAGCTCAGGCTCAAGTTCGCTCTTCAACAACTATCCCAACTTAAGGTTCGCTTCATGGCAAATAAATAATTGAATTTCTGGATTCATATAAAGAAAATGTAAGCTGAAATAATGTTCAAGCTAAAGTCTTTTGCGGCTCTTATAAAGAACTTATTTCCTACAGTTAAAGTGGAGTCCTAACAAAATCAATCCAAGCAAATGTTTATCCAGAAAAACTATACAAATGCCACATTTAATCGTGGTTCACATAAATAATTTGTTGCGCTCGTTGCTTTTCCCGGCCATAATCTACGGCATTAGCCATTCAGCCGTGCCAGCTTAGACAGGCTGCTCCACATTTTAGCCAGTCACCTGACAGACACCCAGCCACCCACCCAGCACGCCCAGTACGCCCAGCACGCCCACTCTCTGGCACTCTCGACAAACTGTGCAGGTCAACATCATCCATTATGGACACAGCAGAGCAGAGTCCAAGCCAGTCACATAAATAAGACTAAGCCTAAACTTCTTTTCCTGCTGAAAGCATCTTAAGTGATTTAGTGCAGCCAAATGGCTTCAATGATAGACTGAGAAAGGGAAAGGGGGAGAGGAGTGCTGATAGGGACAAACTTGTTTGAATTCACAGCATCCATTCAGTCGATCCATCTGCGACTCGGTGTATGCCAGGCCAGGATTTGGGTCACACAAAATGTGAATCGGCAGCCGTAAAGTGGCCCAAATGTTGCACACTGTTGACCGGCATGTGGTTGGTTGGCCATTAGCATGCGAAGCTCAGCCTGAAACTGAAGCCAACTGCCAGCCAAGCAGCCATCAACTGCCCGACAACAGCAACAACAGCAACAGCAACAGCAACAAAGCATTCACATAATCATACTGCATATAGTTGATTTTTCTTCAGCTTTTTTTTTTTAGTTTTTTTTTTTTTGGCTTTATTGTGCGCTTGAATGGGCTCGGGCTCGGGCTCGGCCCCCGGTTCCGGCCGCTGCCCTGGCCCCACAACCTAGCGGCATAATTTGGCCCGCAGTTGCTGCTGACCTCGTTTGAGGTCGTTCATTCACCTGTCGCTGCTGCTGCTGTTGTTGTTGTTGTTGCTGTTGTTGTTGTTGTTGTTGCTGCTGCTGTCGCCGTGCTGCACTTTATGCACTCCACATTTGCCAGCGTACGTGTGTGTGTGTGTGTGTGTGTTTACCCAGTTACGAAATTGTCCAAAATGCTGCGGCTTAGTTGGGTGAAAGTTTGCTTCTTCATTTTTTTTTTTTGTTTTTGTTTTTGTTTTTTTGTTGCTGCTTTTCTATGCATGTTGCTTGAGTAGCTTTAGCTATGTTACCATGTTTGCCAACTAATTGAAATATTTTTATTTCTAAATTACTTTTGATATTTATAAAACATATAATTTAAGCTTATGTGAATGTTAAGTGCCCAATTCGCAAGAAAAAATTAAGAAAGTAGAGAAATGTTTCAAACCTAGCACAATATATAATTCTTCCTATACCCAAATATCATATGTAAAAGACAACTAAAGCTATATTTTGCTTTAAACGGATTTGTTTCTTTTTAAACCAATATAACAAAATATTAATAATTTTATGTATGTATTATTAATATTATTACATATTGTATTGCTAGCTAACTATAACAAGCTAAAATGAGTAGAGGGCAAATTATTCTTATGCTAAGTTTTGATAACTTTTACTTTTACATCACAAAACTTACTGCATTTCACATCTATAAGAAAAACTGTGTCCAAAAATGCAGCTTAAAAGGCTGAAATCAAACCTTTGCTAGAGTCTCGAATCTTTCAATCTTTGCTGTATAAATGATTTGATTTTAATCATATTTTATCATTAAAATAATTATGATTGAGTTAATTTATTACTAAACATTTGTTTTTCAACTCATTATTATTTAATCTAACCAATTTGAGTAACTTAATAATAAAAATGGCACAAAAAACCTATTCGCGTTTTTTTTTTTTGTAAGTTCGAAGAAGCTGTAGAAACTTTTCTGTTAGGGTATTTCAGCTTCGGTGCGCTAAAGCACAAATGATTTTTTCTAGCATTTGTTTGCGTTTGCTTGCGTCAAGGTGTGTCGATGTGTGTGTGTGTGTGCGTGTGTGTGTGTGTGTGTGTGTGTGTATATGAGTCGGTGGCAGTTGTTGTATCTGGAGCAGCTAAAAATTGTTAGTTGCGTGCTAAATTTGTTGCTTGCCAGCGACAACAACAACAGCAACAACAACAACACAAACACAACAAGGCAGCAATAATGAAAAAAAAAACACACACACACACACACGAACACGCAGCAGCCGCCCCGCCCAACGCCCAACCGCCCACTCGCAAATAAAAATTGTGTCAAGCAATTTGCGTACATTAACGCAAAGTTGTTGCCTTTGTTGTTGTTGTTGCTGTTGTTGTTGTTGTTGTTGCCTATTCATGCCGCCAATTGCAATTTAATGAGCGTTAAAAGCAAGGCAACCAACCAGTTTGAACCGAAACGTTTCGAGCACGCAATTCAAATTTACCTTTTACCATGAACCGAACCCCAAACCAAACCCAAAAAAAAAGAAAATAACAGCTGAACCGAGACACGAACCGAAAAAAAAACCTCTGAGGAAAACCAACTGCAAAATTTAGATAAATTTAGCCCCAGCTATTAACATTTATCTAACCATATTTGATAGCTGACAATTTTGAT